TGTTTCTCTTCTGATCAGCTCTCTGCTGTGGCCTGGGAAAGCAGTGGAAGATGGCCCAGGTGCTTGGGCCCCTGCACCCACGTGGGAGACCCGGAAGAAGCTCCTGGCTCCTGGCTTTGGATCGGCGCAGTTCCGGCTGTTGTGGCCATTTGGGGAGTGAACCAGCAGTTGGAAGACCTTTCTGTGTGTGTGTCTCTCTCTGCCTGTAATTCTACCTCTCAAATAAGTAACTAAAATCTTAAAAAAAACCAAAAAACAAAAAAACCAAAAAACCAATGGCTAGAAATAACTGTAAAAAGAGACACAGAACGTTTTCTGTGGTAGAGAATGTATGGTCTCTCGTGTTCCACCGTGCGTTTTCCCATGGTAGATGACTGAGTACTGCCACCCCTGCCCAAAGCCTCCACCCCTGCCTACCTACACCCGTCCTTCACATCCGCGTGGGTACCGATGTTCCAGGAGGCCGAGGGCCCAAGGAATTTTCTAGAACGTCTCTCCCTGCCTGTGATTTCAGAGGCGTCGATGCACAGTAATAGTTGCCGTGTCTTGAGCAGCCACTGCAAATGCCAACTTTGCAGCATCACTGTTATTTCATTTTTCTTTTCAGCACTCGTGGTTAACTTAAGGTAATTCTGTGCAGTCGTGGGCCTGGAACCCAGGGCTTCCCGACTGTGCTCTGTGCTCCCCGCTGCCCCGCCAGGCAGAGCTGACCCACTGGGCCTGTGCTGCGTGTTTCCCACCACAGAGCCATTTCTTTCTCGCTGGTAGCATGAAGCAGGCCTGCACCTGCTTTCCAGTCGGAGATGGGTGGGTCCATTAATATTCCAGTTCCTCGGGTCCTGTGCTGGTAGTGCAGCCGCTTGTCTCGAGTGGTCTTTGAGCCACTTTCACAGGGGCTTCGCATCAATGTCTGGGCCCCGAGTGCACACGTTGTGACTGTGCAGCCTGCGGAACAATTAGGACAGCGACATGCTGTGAAGAGCAGCGGGCGGGAAATGAGTGTGGGGATTTGGTCTCAGTCGTGATTCCCTGAGGACCCTGGCCTCGCCTCTTGCCTGACACCGCCCGCACTCCCAGATCCGGGGCCGTGGGCGTCTGTGTTGCCCCGAGGAATACAGCCCTGTCCTGAAGCCCGTGGGGCTGGTGGCTCGCAAGCAACTTCCCGGTCAACGGCCGCCTCCTGCTCAGAGGCGGTTGTGCCAGGCTTTTCCGTGAAGGATCTTTTTCAGGGCTTGAGCCGACTTCCGTTCCATTTGCAATGTGGTGTTTCTTATCTGCTTTCTCATCACGTCCAGCACTGGGAAGGAGTATGACAGAACACGCTGCTGACCGGGTACCACGGCCTCCCATGGGAGAAGGAAGCCGCGGACTCTGGTGGCCCGGAGGCTGAGGCTCGTGGTCCTCCCTGGGCCGTCACCTTTGTTTTACCAGGGTCATGCGCTAAGGTCACCATTCGTGTCCCTTCCCCGAGTGGCTCCCGTCTTACTCAGCACACAGTGGATGTGAGTTGGTGACACAGGCGTCAGGCACGCCCGCCTCCCCTCCCCAGCCCCAGCGCCGCTGTGCTGCGCGGGGTGACTTCTCACAGCTGGGCAGCAGGAGCTGTGTCCTACACACATCTGAGTGTCCGTGGGTCACAGGCCTAGCAGAAAACAGGAGGACATCTCCATCACATTTTGCAGGGACCCAGAAAGCAACGGTTGATACACCTAGTCAGGTCACAGTGAGATGTTTCTGTTCATCAGAAACCCCACAGGAGGACACAGTGCCAACAGACCCGGAGAAAGCTCGCCCGGCACCCTGAGGATCTGCGTCCAGGACGCACACAGAACTCCTGCCCAGGACACGATGATCCGGCTCTAAAAGCCGTCCCCAGGTTTGAGCATCCATTTCACAGCCGTCCAGGAATCCTGTGGGACTGAGCGCTTTGCTCAACGTCAGGCCGTCAGGGAGGTGCGCGTGGAAGCACCACAGCTCCGATGGCATCAGAGGCCAGGGGGGGTGGGCGTGGGGGTGGGGGATGGCTGGTTCACTCCTGAGAGCTGACAGTCCAGGGAGTGGACTGGGGGTGGGAGTGTGGGCACAGGATGGGGAGGGAGACTCCTGGAGTGGCTCCCGTGGTTGAGCCCTTCCCGTTCCTGTGCAAAGTGAGCCCCCCTTCCCGCCCTTTTTCCGCGCCGTGGGCTCCTTGGCACAGGGCTGGCAGCATCTGCTTGCTGCCGTCTCGCCGCCTCACCTCGGACTCTGGAGGGTTGGCACTGGCTGTCACCGCACGGGGCTCTGGGAGCAGAGCCCTTGCATGTTTGGCTCACTGCCACGTCCTTGCCACCGCGCGATAGGCATCCGATACGGAAATGTGTGTTACGAAACAATGACGAATGGATTTCACAAATGTTTTGTACACGAAAAAGCCTTACCTTTTTTATTTCCAAAAAGATTAAACAATATTTATTTATTTTTATTGTATTTGAAAGGCCAAGAGAGACAGGGAGGAATCTTCTATCAGCTGTTTTGCTTACCAGGTACCTACGACTGTTCCTGGGTCAGGAACACTCCAAGGCCGGGAGCCAGGGATTCGGACTGGCTCCATGGGGGTGGTAGGGCCCAAATACTTGAGCTGTCTCTGCTGCCTCCCTGGGGGCACATTAAGCAGGAAGCTGCATTGGAAATAGAGGAGTGGGGACAAAGACCAGGCCCTCCCGTGTGGGACACAGACTTTCCAAGTGGTGTCTTAACTGCGGCACCAAATCCCTGCCCCTAACAAAAGATTAAGAAAATGTATTTTAAAGGTAAGGGGCAAGAGAGGGAGGGAGGGAGGGGGAGAGAGGGAGAGAGGGAGAGAGAAAGCAAGTGAGCTAACTCCCGACCACTGTTTCACTCCCAAATGCCTGCGCTGGTTGGGGCTGGGCTGGGTGGCAGCCAGGAGCTGGGAACCCAGTCTAGGTCCGTCTTGTGAGTTGCAGAGACCCGCTCCTTGAGCAGTCACTCTGCCTCTTACGATATGCAGTAGCAGGAGGCTGGGAGTAGGAGTGGAGCCGGATATGGAATCCAGGCATTCCAACGTGGGATGCAGGTGTCTCGATCAGTGTTTTTTTTAAAAAAAGATCAATTTTATTTATTTGAAAGAATGAGGGAGGAAGAGAGGAGAAGGAGAGAGCAAGTGAGCAAGCGAGCTCACTCTCCCATCTACTGGTTCATTTCCCAAAAGGCCACAATAGCTGGAGGAGGAGTGGTGGGTCTCCCATGTGGGTGGCAGGGGCCCAGGTACTTTGGCCATCTTCTACTACTTTCTCATGTGCATTCGCAGGGAGCTGGGTTTTAAAGTGAAGACTCTGCGATGTGAGTAGGTGCTAATATGGGATGCTGGCATTGCAGGTGGTGGCCCCATCAGTTTCTTAACCACTATGCCCAACCCTAAACTTCCTTTTACTTATTAATTTATTTACGATTTATTTACTTGAAAGGTGGTGACACAGAGAGAGGAGAGGTGGAGCAGCTAGGACTTGAACTGGCACCCTGGTATGGGATGCTGGTGTCACAAGCAGGGGCTTAACTCTCCGCTCCACAACGCTGGCCTCTCAACTTATCATTCAGTTCTGTGTCTTCACAAAGCTTTTGACGCATCCTTGGGCGTGTTCCCAGGACGAGAACATAGATGAGTTCTGTGGGCTACACTGGGAGGGTGGAGGGACCAGGAGGGCCCGGCGTGCGTGGAGGTGCTGTAGTGTCTCCTTGCAGAGCCAGGGTCCCTGAGCAGCTTTGAAAGGTGCCTGTCTTTGGCCACTCAGGCTTCTACAGAAAAACCCCAAGGAGTGGGTTTCCCAGCAGCTGATCTGCCCTTCTCGGAGTTCCGGGGGGACCCAGGATGAAGGTGGGGCAAGTCTGATGCTTGGTGAGGGCCTGCTTCCTGGTTAAAGATGGCATCTTACCGCCATGTCCTCAGATGGCGCAGGGGGCAGTCCTTCCCCTCCCAGAGGCCCCATCTCCTGACACTGTCAGCCAGGGGGTTAGGGTTGCAACGTGAAGTTTGCGGGACAGAAGCCAGGGTAATGGCTCTGAGCCTGGCTTGAGGAGCGTGGGTCTGGCCGGTGTGTGGGGTTGGACTGAGGGCTGCCAAGAAACGTGGGGAGGAGGCCACTTGGTCTTCCAGGTGAGAGCTGCAAGGGCTGAGGCAGGACCCCAGCAGTGGGCCTGGGAAGAGAGGGCGGGAGGGCCTGAAGAGCTCTGGCTGGCCGGTGGTCAGAAACGGGTTTATTGCCAGGGTGTGGTGGGAGAGAGCCATGTCCTTTGGCAGTAGCAAGGTTCTGCCCCTGTTCCCTGCTGAAGGGAGCTGAGGTGCAGTGAGCCAGGGCCCAACCCAGGTCGGCTCTTGTCTCGGACACCTGTTGGCTGTGCGCCTCCCTGGGCTTCCCCGTCCTTGTCGTGAGCTGGGGTGATGGCAACGCACAGGACTATTGAGTTGGCTTCTCAGGGTGTGCCAAGGTTGCTGCGTATAGTAGGGGCTTTCCGAAATTGGAGTTGCTGCCAGAAGCCACTGGCTTGTTGGGGAACTGCGCGAGGGCCCTCATGAAGGAAGCTGTGAGCTGTGAGCTGTCCAGTCTGGCCTAGGCGGTGTCTCCGGGAAGCCATCCCCTGACCGCCTGGTCCTTACTGTGGTTTTGCACGTTGTGTATTTGATGAAAGCTTGCCAGCACCCCGAGGTGAGCTCCGCTCCTTCCCTTCACGGTGGACGGTAGGGCTGACGTCCTGGTGTGCAGCCAGTGCCCTTGCTTCGCAGAGCCTGGCCTTACCAGCAGGAAGAAGGTGCGCTGGGAGCTGGGACCCGGCCAGGCTCTCGGAGCTCCCCTCGGGGTTACCGCGTCTCGGGGCTGCTGCCGGGGCTCTGCCTGCCCTGGACGTTCCCGCAGGCCTCTGTCTTACGAAGAACTGTCTTCACGTGTGTCTCCTTTTCCACTCGGAAGTGTCTCTGAAAGGCTTGTTACCTCTTCTCTGTGCTGCAGCTTTCAGAAGAAGAAAAAATCCAGCGCTACAGCATCCTGTCCGAGCTCTACGAGCTCATCGGCTTCCACCGCAAGTCGGCCTTCTTCAAGCGTGTGGCTGCCATGCAGTGTGTGGCCCCCAGCATCTCGGAGCCTGGCTGGAGGGCGTGCTACAAGCTCCTGCTGGAGACGCTGCCCGGCTACAGTCTCTCGCTGGATCCCAACGACTTCAACAGAGGTACTGGGGGGCTGGGCAGGCGCTTCCCCGACTCAGTCGTGGGGCTCGGGCACCTGCTGTGCATGGCAGGCACTGTGACTGGAGCTGGCGGCTCAGAGGAGACGGACCCCGCCTGTGCTGGGCACCTGGAAGGACACGTGCTGGCAGAATGTGGTGGAACCGCCTGGCCATGGCGTGTGGGTGTCCCTGATTGTCCTGGAGCTGATGTGTGCCATCAGCAAAGAACTTCAGATTAATTCCTAGTGAATTTTACTTATCTTATGACACTTAGTTGAGTTAGTAAAAACCAATGAGCCAGGAATAAATATATTTGAGTGTAAGCACACACAACTGGCTGTCCAGTGGGTGGGAAGTTCTTTTTTATTTTAAAATTTATTTTCTTTTTAAAAATATTTATTTTATTTATTTCAAAGAGTAACAGAGGCAGAGAGAAAGAGAGAGAGAGAGAGAGAGAGGTCTTCCATCTGCTGTTTCACTCCCCAGATGGCTGCAACGGCCAGAGCTGCGCCGATCTGAGGCTAGGAGCCAGGAGCTTCTTCCAGATCTTCCATGTGGGTGCAGGGGCCCAAGCACTTGGGCCATCTTCCACTGCTTTCTCAGGCCATAGCAGAGAGCTGGATTGGGAGAGGAGCAGCCGGGACTAGAACCGGCACCCATATGGGATGTCAGTGCTTCAGGCCAGGGCTTTAACCTGCTATGCCACAGCGCCAGCCCCTAAAATTTATTTTCATTTACTTGAAAGGTATAGTTACAGAAAGAGAGGGAGAAACACACACATACATCTTCCATCTGCTGGTTCACTCCCCAAATGGACCAGGGCCAGGGCTAGGCCAGGAGCCAGGAGCTCCATCTGGGTCTCCCATATGGGTCCAGGGGTCCAGGCACTTAGGTCATCTTCTGCTGCTTTCCCAGACTCATTAGCAGGGAGCTGGATCAGAAGTGGAGCAGCCAGGACTCGAACCAGCACCCATATGGGATGCCAGTGTCATAAGTGGCAGTTTAACCTGCTGTGCCTCAATGCCTGTCCTGGGAGTAAGTTCTTATTCCGAAGTATTCGAGCAGGGCAGTCCATGTTTAAAATACAGCTACAGACCTGACCATAAGTGTCCACAGGCTGGTTAGGGGCAGGGAGGCCGTGTTTTAGTGGCTGCTGGAGGCTGGGGACGTAACGTGCTCTCCTCCAGCTCGGGTGTGGGGTTGGTGAAGGTGGACTTGTGGACGTGGAAGGAACGGAGCTGTGCTCTGGGTTGTTGTCTCGACAGGGCACAGGAGGGTCCTGCAGGTGTTGTCTGTATGTGGTCACGTTTGTTCAATGTGGGACACGGGCCTGACGTTTGTCATCGTCAGATACCATCTGTGATGCTCACTCTCATCTGTCCCCGCTTAGGAGTAGGAGCTGGAGTCCTGTCTAACAGGTCTTTTATTTCTTGTTTTAAAGATATATTTATTTATTTGAAAGTCAGGGTTACAGAGGGGATGGGGTAGGGGTGGTGCAGAGAGAGAGAGAGAGAGAGAGAGAGAGAAGGAGAGAGAGCGCTCTTTCATCTTCCATCTATTGGTTCACTCCCCAGAGGGCTGGTGTCTTCCACATGGTGGAAGGGCCTGAGTACTTGGTACATAATCTGCTGCCTCCCAAGGTGCATTAGCAGGGAGCTGGATTGGAAGTGGAACAGCTGGGGCTCAAATTGGCACTCATATAGGGTGCTGGCTTCATAGGTGGCAGCTTACCCCGCTATGCCACAGTGCCCACCCTCACCTGTGACTCTTGGTGGAATCTCAGTTACTTGCAGTTTTGGAAATCACAAGTAAAGCAGCCACAAACGTTCATGTCCAAGGTGGCTGTGCCAGTTTGAATCCCCACTGGCAATGAGTGGGGTTTCCTGTTGCCCCATGACCCTGCTAGGGTTTGGTGGTGGTGGTGTTTTGATGTTGGCTGTTCTGGAAGGTGTATCCTGGTATTTCATTTTAATTTGCATTTCTCTAATGACCCATGGTACTGGACATATGTTTATACACTTAATGACCATCTGTGTATCTTTGGTGAGGTGTTCAGATCTCTTGCCCATTTTTTATTTTGTTTGAATAGTAGAGAGAAAAAGAGACAGAGACAAAGGCAGAGACAGATACTGAGGCAGAGACAGATAAACAAGAGGGATCTTCAATTTGCTGGTTTACTCTTCAAATATCTGTAACAGCCTGGGTGAGACCAGGCCAAATCCAGGAGCCTGGGACTCTGTCTGGGTCTTGCAGGTACTTGGCAGGGCCTCAGGTACCTGAGCCATCATCTGTTTTCTCCCTTGACGTGCATTAGCAAGAAGATGGCTGAGAAGTGGAGCTAGGGGGCTGGCACTGTGGCATAGTGGGTAAAGCTTCTGCCTGCAGTGCCAGCATCACCATATGGGTGCTGGTTCGAGTCCTGGCTGCTCCACTTCCAATCCAGCTCTCTGCTATGGTCTGGGAAATCAGTAGAAGGTAGCCCAAGTCCTGGCTCCTGGCTTCGGATCAGTTCAGATCCAGCTGTTGAGGCCATTTGAGGAGTGAACCAGTAGACACAAGACCTCTCTGTCTCTGTCTCTGCCTCTGCCTCTCTGTAACTCTGCCTTTCAAACAAATAGATAAAAACCCTTGAAAAAAAAAAGAAGTGGAGCCAGGACTTGAACCCACGGGACTTGAACCCAGGGCTCTGGTGCAGATGCAGGTGCCCCACGTGGTTTCTTAGAAGCCACTGCACTAGACGCCTGCCCTCTGGCCCGTTTTTAAATTGCGTCCTGGCTTTCCCACTGTTGAGTTTTAAGAGTTCTTTGTTTAGTTTAGCAGTAGTCCTTTATTAGGTGTGTCTTTTCCAAGTAGTTCGTCTCCTTTTTGTGTCTTCCCGTTCTCTCAATAGTGTTTTATGTGCAGCAGATGTGTCTGGTTTTAATGACATGGAGTGTCTCAGTTCTCTCTCTCATGGTTTATGCCTTTGATGCCGCAGCTAAGAAGTCATTAGGGTACTCTTCTAGGTCATCTAGGTTTTCGAGTGTTAACTCCTAGCAGTGTTACGTTTACGTCTAAGACTGATTTTGTGTTAATTTTTGTGAAGGGCACAGGCTTGTTTGCTTGTGGGTGTCCAGTCGTCCCAGCGCCACCTGGTGGACCGGCTGTCCTTGCTCTGTTTGTGTCACAGACCAGTTGGCTCCACTTACCTGGCTGTGTTTCTGTGCCCTCTGTTATCTCCATTGATTTTTTTGGTCTATTCTTTCACAACACCACAGTCTTGATTGCTATAGCTTTATAGTGAGTACCGAAGTTGGAGATACTTCTATTTATTGAAAAAAGTTGCCCAAATTGGATATTATTTGAAAAGTGGTTATTCACAAAAGGTGATTGTTCACATTTCCTTCACCATTTGCTGGTATTTTCAGTGACGTGGCTAGAGCAGCTGCCATGCTGGGTGGTCACTGCTCGCCATTATGGCCTGCACGAGGGGTTCTGGGCCTGCCTGCCTGTCCACATGCCTGGCTGAGGGCTGGGTGAGGCCAGTACAAGGGATGCCTCTGTCCGTGTCTTAAACAGCAACGTTCTTGGAATTTGTGCCTGTGCCCCTGGGGTGAGCTCACCCAGGCACCTTTCTTTTTTATTTTTATGTATTTATTTTTTAAAAGATTTATTTTTTTATTTGAAAGGTAGAATTACAGAGAGACAGAGGCAGAGAGAGAGAGAAGAGAAGAGGAGAGACAGAGACAGAGACAGAGGTCTTATATCTGCAGGTTCATTCTCCAGATGGCCATAATGGCCATAGCTATGCCAATCTGAAGCCAGGAGCCAGGAGCTTCTTCCTGGCCTCCTACATGGGTGCAGGGATCCAAGGACTTGGGCCATCTTCCACTGCTTTCCCAGGCCATAGCATAGAGTGAAATCAGAAGTGGAACAGCTGGGACTTGAACCAGCGCCCATATGGAATGCTGGCACTGCAGGTGGCTGCTATACCACAGTGCCAGTCCCTATTTATTTATTTTAAAGGTTTATTTTATTTATTTGAAAGGGAGAATTATGGGGGCGGGGGGAGAGAGCGAGCGAGAGCGAGCACTTCCGTTCTCTGTTTCACTCCCCAAGTGGCCGTATTGGGTGGGATGCTGAAGCCAGGAGCCAGGAGCCTCCACTGGACCTCCCATGTGGGTGTAGACCAAGCACTTGGGCCATCTTCCTCTGCTTTCCCAGGTATACTAGCAGAGAGCTGGATGCAAAGTTGAGCAGTCTATGTACTCGCACTTGTGCCCATATGGGATTTGGTGTTGCAGGTGGCAGATTAACCTGTTGTGCCTCCCCTTTCTTTTCTTTTTTTTTTTTAAAGATTTATTTATTTATTTATTTGAAAGGCAGATAGAGAGTTAGAGTTAGAGTTAGTTAGAGTTGGAGTTAGAGTTAGAGAGAGAGACACTGAGTTCTTCTCTTTTCTGGTTTACTCGTCAGATGCCCACGATGGCTGGGGCTGGGCCAGGCTGAAGCCAGGAGCCCAGAGCAGTACTGAGTCTCCATGCGGGTGGCAGGGGCCGTCCTCCATTGCTCTCCCAGGCACATAGCAGGGAGCTGGATCTGAAGGGGAGCAGCTGGGAGTAGAACAGGTGCTCATATGGATGCTGGTGTTGCAGGCGACAGCTTAACCTGCTGTGCCACAGCACTGGCCCCAGAGGGGTGTCTTCCTGCTGCACGCGGGCGCTGGCCAGGCCTGATGAGCGCCATGAGGGCTTGACCAAGTGAAGTGTCATTGCCAAGGTCGTGCTGCTCTTGACCTTGGCCAAGTCACTGTGTGTCTGGAGGATAGGGGAGCCAGTGGGTTGTCCCTGTGAGGTGCTTAGCATAGTCCCAGCAACAGTCTGCAGCCGTTCATGTTCTCTGAGACGTGTGGTCCCCGGCTACAGCTCTGCAGCCTCCCCCAGGCCAGGGGATTCCCTGCTCCCCCAGGAGCACGTGCCGACGAGTCCGAGTTAAGGGCAGAAAGAGCCGGGCAGCCCTAGCCCCCAGACGGGGGCGTCCAGGAGGCGCAGAGCTGCTGGTGGAAGCGCCGAGAACCAGCCCCCGTCTGAGGAGGCAGAGTTGGCCTCCTCCAGTATTCCGGAGACTGCTGGGGAGAGGGAAGAGAGGAGAGAGGGTTGAGAGCATCACACGTTTCTCTGTGGGAAGAAGGGAAGTGCATTTCCAGAGGCTTCTGTACGCCCTGCGAATGGATTCCCCATTTGGTGCACTTTGGAGAGACTGCGGCGAGATGGAAATTGCCCGAGTCCATTCTTTTGTATCCTTTGAATACCTCTGCAGGCTGGCCCCTGGGTGAAAGCCACCTGGGCTTCCTCAAGGTACGGGAGGAGTGGCTTGAGCTTCTCCTTTCTGTATGGGAGCCAATTACCCATCTCACCGCGCCAGCCCGGCCCCAGGGCTTGGCAGCTCTTCCTGCTTCCTGGGCTGCCCAGCCCTGCTCCTCACTTGTGCGCCTCCGCGCTCTTCAGCTCTCAGCGCAATGCTGTTTCTTCACACGGTCCCCTGGGGTCCCCACGGCTCCACTGGGGTCCTTTTGCTTTTCCCTTTTTTGAGTTCTGTTGTGCTTCCCGTCACCACTTCTCAGTCTTTAATGCAGTTTAAAGAAGCTTGGGGGATTGTTTAGTGCCTGTCTCCGTCAGCAGCCTGTCAGCCCCGAGAAGGCAGAGTTCCCTGCAATTTTTGTGCCTGGGACACCCTCTGGTGCCCACGTGAACCCCAGTAAGCAGCCAGGGCCACATGGTTGTCAGCATTTATTGAATAAGGTTCATTTCTTGCCCTTAATTTTGAAGTCTGATGAACGAAACATATTTCTTTTGGAAAATAAAACAGGGCCTGCTTCCACGTGATTTGTCCCTGTATATTCAGACCTGTGTCTCCATTGGCCATCATTCTGTGAACGAGGGTCAGGGACTGAGACCAAATAAAGTAAAAATGATAAATGTCAGCTGGCTATATATTTGTAAATGTTTGTTTATTTACTTGAAAGGCTGAGAGAGAAAGAGAGAGAGAGATATTGATTGATTGGTTGATTGATTTTCTATCTTCTGGGTCGTTGCCCAAATGCCCACAACAGCCACGGCTGGGCCAGGCTGAAGCCAGGAGCCAGCATCTCCAGCTGGGTCTCCCACATGGATGACAGGGACCCAAGTACTTGGACCATCATCTACTGCCTCCCAGCATGCAGTAACAGGAAGCTGGATCGGAAGCGGAGGTGCCAGAGGCAGTCTCCCTGATTTGGGATGCAGCGTTCCAAGTGGAGGTTTCATACACTTTGCCCCAGTGCCTGCCCTGACTTGCTGTAATTTTAACAGAAGCAGAAGTCACTTTAAGCTCCATTTCTGCTATTGCTCTGGTCCGCCGTGGACACTCTGCAGAGAAGGAGTTGGGACTCTGCAGCCTTGTCCCTGGGAACGAGAGGAAAGTGCCTGTGTTCTCAGGCGCTGGAATGCCTCTGTGGCGCTCTCGAGATGGAGGTTTCGTGGCAGCTGGTTGTAGCTGCGCAGCTGAGGGCTGAGTGTTTGCCCACATCCGGGCCTGCAGGCCCTTCTCCGTGTTGCTCTGTTTGAAGATTTCTGATGATGCCTTTTGCTCTGCCTTTTCCTAAATGAAGGATTACACTTTCCCCCTGAGCTGTGAGGACAGGCTTGGTAAGGAGCAGAGATTTGCTAGCAGGCAGTGGTTGGATGCACCCAGTGAACCCCAAATCAGCAAACTCCAATTACGAGGGTGTTGGAAGCTTTATCACTGGGTCATTTGCTGCAGGTCTTTCTTAAAAAATCACGTGTTATAGGAGGAACAGTTTGCATCCCATGGAAATTGTGACTTGCACGCAGTTTACTGTTAAGGACGTTCACGCTGGGTCTTACGCTTAATTGCCTGTGGTAGGAACTGGCTCATTGTCCATTTAAAAAAACTCAGCAGTGAATTTGTCCAGTTCTTACACAAGAAGTGAAGGGATTAGTTAAATTGGTTCTTTCTGAGTCATAGTTAGATTGGTTGTGACATTGATTTCAGGTTGTCCTTTAAGAAAGTCTCTCCTTTTGGTTTGGCGTTGGATCTTAGCCTCTTCGACAGTGTGGAAATACTGCAGGCACTCAGCTTTCTTTCCTGCTTGCAGTTGTTGTGTGAAATGTGCCGCCATTTTACTCTCCAAAAGATTTCTGGAAGATAAACCATGCATCTTATTCTGTTGACTCATCAACCAGGCCAACCGAGTGCATGATTCCGGCAGGCCCTGTGCGGGGGTCCCAGAATGAACACCATACAGTCTGCAGAAGTTTTACCCTGTGAACTTGTCAGTAGAGACCGGAGAATGGAGGCCATGTTCCCGGGGGCACAGTGCAGGAGGCTGGATCGTTAACTCCAGCGTCAAAGGTGACGTTGAGTGTTGGCCATGTCGTGTTCATTGAGCAATACCGACGGCAGCTGGTGATTCTGGAGCGTTTATGATGGACGAGCTGCGGAAGCCTGTCAGTGAGCTGTTGTATTAACCCCCAACATTATGACGGACACTGCTGTCGCCACCTTCTTATCCAGATCCCACTGCAGAGGGTGCCCCGCCCCTGCCAGCGTCACCCTGCCCTCAGCCACTGAGCCCATCGCCTGGCTGGCCCTAGGACAATGGCCCTTGCCTGAGGGCGGGTGCTTTGTCCCTCTTCTTCTGTGTCCTGTCCCAGTGGGTTCCTGTGAACTGGCAGACCTCAGTGAGTGGTAGTTTTGTCTGAACCTCTGAATAACATCTGTGTCTATTTTTCTTTTCTTTTTAAAGATCTATTTTTTTTTTTTAATTTTAAAAGAGTTACAGAGAGAGAGAGGGAGAGAGAGAGATCTTCTATCCGAGGGCTCACTCCTCAGTTGGCCACCATGGCCCGCTCTGGGGCAGGTCGAAGCCAGGAGTCAGGAGCTTTTCCCGGGTCTCCCATGTGGGTGCAGGGGCCTAAGCACTTGGGCCATCCTCCACTTGCTTTCCCAGGTGCATTAGCAAGGAGCTGGTTGGGAAGAGGAGCAACTGGGACACAAACCGTGGCATCGCAGGTGGTGCCTTTACCTGCTGCACCATAGTGCCCGCCCCATGTGTGTGTTTTTCACAGCCTCTTGGACTGGGGGACCAGTGATCAAGCAATCTGCCTGACTGGTGGAGCCCTTGGGCACCAGGTGTTAAGAACTCAGATTTCCTGGCTGCCTCTGGATTTGTGGAAATCACAGTCTTGTATGGAGCGAGTGGAGCATTCTGTAATCCCGAGTCTCCGTGAGACTCTGCTTGTGTGCCCCTCATAGACTCAAAGGTGGTGGCCACTCGGGGTCACTGCTGAGCGCCCAGCAGGGTCATGAACTCAAGTGGCCTTGCGGTAGCCACATCCTTGGATCCAGCCCTGGATGACTCACAGCACCGGGCAGGAGCTTGCTGGTTGTGGAATCTTATTAGGTCACAAGGTGGTGCCTGCTGCCTCATGGGAAATGGAGCAGCTCACGCTGAGACTGCCTCATCTTAAAGAGATGCTTGCCAGTCGGCTCTGCGTCCCATTTCCCCACCTTTGATGTCAGCCGCGCTAAACGGTTCTGGTGAGAGCAGTCCTGACAGTGCATTGAGACCCCGCCCTCCAGCGTAGCTGGTCACTCTTCTGCATTGTTCTCGTACTTTAGAGACTTGTCGTACTTGTTAACTTCATATTCTTGGTTGTTTATAATGAAGGCCCATCAAATACCAGTATTTTCTTTTCTTTTTTTTGACAGGCAGAGTTAGACAGTGAGAGACATAGAGAAAGGTTATCCTTTTCCATTGGTTCACCCCCCAAATGGCCTCTATGGCTGGTGCGTTGCGCCGATCCGAAGCCAGGAGCCAGGTGCTTCTCCTGGTCTCCCATGTGGGTGCAGGGCCCAAGGACTTGGGCCATCCTCCATTGCCCTCCCGGGCCACAGCAGAGAGCTAGACTGGAAGAGGAGCAACTGAGACAGAATCCGGCACCCCAACCAGGACTAGAACCCGGGGTGCCAGCACCGCAGGTAGAGGATTACCCAAGTGAGCCGTGGCACCAGCCCATACCAGTATTTTTTTTTTTAATTTATTTTTTATTTTTATTTTTATTTTTTGACAGGCAGAGTGGACAGTGAGAGAGAGAGACAGAGAGAGAAAGGTCTTCCTTTTGCCATTGGTTCACCCTCCGATGGCCGCCGCGGCCGGTGCACTGTGGCCGGTGCACTGCGCTGATTCAAAGCCAGGAGCCAGGTACTTATCCTGGTCTCCCATGGGGTGCAGGGCCAAGCACTTGGGCCATCCTCCACTGCACTCCCTGGCCACAGCAGAGAGCTGGCCTGGCAGAGGGGCAACCGGGACAGAATCCGGCACCCCTACCGGGACTAGAACCCGGTGTGCCAGTGCCGCAAGGCGGAGGATTAGCCTAGTGAGCCGCGGCGCCGGCCATACCAGTATTTTCTTGAAACAGATTATGCGTGGAACTGCAATACATGCCGTCTAAAATGTCATCTTTAGTTCTAAACATATCATGGTTCCCAAGTGGGACATTTTTGAACTTGTGTCTTTGGAGAAGACAGGAAATTTGAGGGTACTCCACAAATTTCATGGAAAGTGGAATTAAAAAGTAAGCTTATTCTGGGGCAGCAGATTTGAAATCCATGTAGATGTGGGTCTTCAGAAGCTTCATGGAAAATGTGTGATATGAAAAACTTGCGTGTATATAAGTTTTTCTCGCATTAAAATAAAAAGTATCTTGATTCCATTTGCCCATGACTTTTTGGGGGCACATTCATATGACATCAAGCATATTTCTAACACACAGAAAACTTGCGACTTGAGAGTCCTTTTCCGGTGTCAGTGAACGTAGCTCTGCTGCCCCCTGCATTTGTGCGTGGGCACGTTGCCCGGCTTCCTGCCCCTCGGTGACGCCGTCTCCCTCTCGTTGCAGGCACGCACAGGGGCTGGGCTGCCGTCCAGATGCGTTTGCTGCACGAGCTGGTCTATGCCTCCCGACGGATGGGGAACCCTGCTCTGTCCGTGAGGCACCTGTCCTTCCTCCTGCAGACCATGCTGGACTTCCTGTCCGACCAAGGTAAGGCCAAGCCGGGGAGCGGGAACAAGAGCCCTCTGAGTGCTGCCCATGGAGACCCTGGGTTTCCAGCTCCGTGTGAGTGCGGAAGCACCAGGCTCTGCCCTGCCCTGCGCACCCTGGGCTGCTGCTCCTTCCTCCTCTGCCCCTCCCCTCCCTGGTCCTCTGCCAGACTCAGCTGCTCTTCCCACGGCCTCTCAGCTCCCTCTCCAGCCTCCTCGGGTGTCAGAGTCTCTCATGGAGGGATGTGCACGGCTCCTGACTCCGCAGCCCAGGGGATTTTTACAAAGTGCCCCCCGCTCCCCACCCGCCTCAGTGCAACAGGCACCCAGCTCAGAAATGGAACACACCTGGGGCCTTGTGCCCCCTCTGGCCACTGTTCCTGGTCAGCGCTGCTTCTGTCTGGGCTTCCAGAGCCACAGGCTTCCACGAGCCACCCGCTTGGCCCGTGGTGCCCTGGGGCTCCCGTCACTGCCCTGGGCGTCCCCTGGAGGGCAGCCTGAGCCCTGGCTGTGTTCACGTTGCTGCAGCGGCACCTGAGGCAAGCAGGTGTGGGCAGCGGGGGCTCTGCCTCCTGTCACCTTGTTCAGGGGACGGCACTGGTTGTTCCTCAGGGAAGGGCCCTTCCATGCTGAGATTACTGTGCAGGAAGTGTGCTAGGGGGTCCTCATGGGATCCACACCCCATGAAGCAAGGGGAGAGAGGCAGGGGGGACACAGGGAGAAGGTGGGCCTCGGTGGCTCCTGCATAACTGTGTGTTGGGAGGCCCTGCTGAGCATCCTCTGTTGCCCCAAAGGATGTAGGCTGCACTGGGGGATGTTGTGTCCTCAGTGGTGAGTGGAGAAGGCCTCAGCTCGCCCAGCGAGGCCTGTGCAGCTGGACGGCCCATCAGAGAGAGCTGTTGCTTGCCATGAGGGCGGGCAGGGGCTGTGCCCTCCTGTGCTGGGCTGGGCCCCGGGTGTCTGAGAGGTGGACTCTCACACGAGGCGGCATCTTCCAGCTGAGGATGACTGGGAGCGCCTGGGGAAGCAGGCTGTCTGCCCTGCGAGACGGTCTGGGCGGTGTGTCGTGTCCATTGCAGCACTGCTTCTGTCACTGCATCTATACACGTGGGGGCCCAAGACACCCACTGCCTACTGCCCACTCCCTCACCCCTCACCCCTCATCCTGGCATGTACCGAATTTCATGTTCCTCTGTCTTCATACTTAAATTAAAACAAATTAAATTTAAGGCTGGCACTGTGGCTCACTAGGCTAATCCTCTGCCTGCGGCGCCGGCACCCCAGGTTCTAGTCCCGATCGGGGCGCTGGATTCTGTTCCGGTTGCCCCTCTTCCAGTCCAGCTCTCTACTGTGGCCAGGGAGTGCAGTGGAGGATGGTCCAAGTGCTTGGGCCCTGCACCAGCATGGAGACCAGGAGAAGCACCTGGCTCCTGGCTTCGGATCAGCGCGCCAGCCACAGTGGCCACTGGGGGATGAACCAACAGAGAAGGGGAGACCTTTCTCTCTGTCTCTCTCTCTCACTGTCCACTCTGTCTGTCAAAAAAATTTAAATTTATTTTCATTTTATTCGAAAGGCAGAGAATGAGAGACAGATCTTTCATGTGCTGTTTTACTCTCCAGTGTCCGCAGCAGCCAGGGCAGGGCCAGGAAGCAGGAGCTCCATCCCATGTGCGTCCAGGGCTGCCTGTCAGCAGGAAGCTTCATTGGAAGTGGAGCGGCTGGGACTTGCAGCCGGCACACGGCACAGGGATGCGAGTGGCCACTTAGTGGATGCTGCTGTTGCAGGTGGCTGCCCTACCCGCCACGCCACAGCGCTGGCCCCAGTGCCGGCACTCCTGAAAGAAGACGTTTGTCTTCCGCAGTGGCCTCTGTCACTCGTGTTCCTCATGCACTGGCCGCTTCCTGTGGCTGTGTGGCCTTCTACGGGGTGGGAGGGCTGTCCTGCACCTCCAGTGCCCCCAGCGAAGTGCCGCTGTGACAGGGCCCCTCTCCGGGCGGCTGCACGCGGTGTCCTCTCTGCCCTGCCTTGCAGAGCAAGGTCACCACAGCTGGCTTCATGATCCATTTGCACTCTGGGGCCTCAGAGGGGAGGGTACAGAGGCGGAGCTTCCGGGGCCCCGCAGGGCAGTTGCGGGGGCTGGGCCTTGCTTGCTCTGATCCATGTGCCCTCCGCAGCTGCTGCAGGAGCTGCCCGGGCGCCTCTCCCCTGGCGCTTCTCCAGTCTCCCTGTGACCCTGCAGCTACCTGGGGCAGTGCCTGGACTCCGTTTGGGTGGGAGCTGAGAATCTCCAGTGCCGTCCCTGCCCCGTGCTGTTGTCCCTCTGCCTTTTAGCCAGGGCTCTGTTCTCTCTTGGGAACAGTGTGCCCACCTTCCCCACAGTCCCGTGTGTGCTGTCCCTGTGTCCTTTCCTGAGCTGCCTGCACCGCCCCTCCTTGTCGGCCGTGAATCGAGCCTGCTTGCCTCTCCAGGAAGCATCTTCCTTCCTGCAGCACAGCCCTGGCCCCTCCCCGCCCCCACTTTTTTAATTTTTTTACTAGATCTTGCCTTCCTCTTGAAAGCCTTTCTTTTTTTCTTTTCTTTTCTTTTTCTTTTTTTTTTTTTTTTTTTTTAAGGATCCACTTATTTATTTGAAAGGCAGAGTTACAGAGAGGCATAGGGAGAGGGAGAGGGAGAAGGAGAGAGAGAGAGAGGTGTTTTCCATCCGATGATTCACTCCCCAGGTTGTTGCAATGGCCAGAGCTGTGCCGATCTGGAGCCAGGAACTTCCTCCAGGTCTCCCACGTGGATGCAGGGGCCTAAGGACTTGGGCTATCCTCCACTGCTTTCCCCGTCCATAGCAGAGAGCTGGATCGGAAGTGGAGTAGCTGGGACTCGAACCGACACCCATATGGGATGCCAGCACTGTAGGCAGTGGCTTTACCTGCTATGCCCTGGCACCAGCCCCTCTCTTGAAAGCCTTTAACAAGCTCCCAGTGAGACCAGGAACTAACTCCTGGTGCGGTCTCTCCCTGAGTGAATTCTCACGGTTACAGGTCAGTAATCGGTTGCACATGTAGTTGGTGGAGGCCCCTCTTCCCTCCAGCAGCTCCGTGTGGAAGGAACCCCATATGCCCGGGCTCCTGCTCTCTCCCCAGCCCTGGAGCCAGACCTGGCAGGGCGGGGGCCAGGGGCTTGCTGGCCTAGGTGTGGCTGGTACCTTCACAGCGCTCACTTCAGCTGTGGTGCGTGTGGGAGAGTTGATTCTGACTCGGGTCTGTAGGCGTGTTTCAGAAACACGTTCTTCTGACATTGTGCATGAGTGTGCTTTGAAAAGTTCACGGAAAATGGAATTAGAAGGAAAGTTTCTTTTGGTGCCAAAAAAAAAAGATTGAAAGTACAAGCATGATGTTTTCATCATATGTGTTTTCCATGAGCCTTTGCAGTCCCCTCATGTGCTGCCGTTCTCCAGGGCCTGGGCCATATTTTCTCCTTTGAGTGCCCGGCTGTTAACCCAGGATGTCGGGAGCTTCTCGTGCTCGTCCAAGGGCTTGTGCGTGGGATCTCTACTTGGGGCTGTCTGTGTGATTCTTCAGTGTCAGGCAGACAAGCCTGGCGTGTGGGCCTTTCTCCCAGCTTTGGAAGACCATGGGGTGTGTCTGCCGGCCTCATGTGCTCACGTGTCCACAGGATGGCCTCCGGGAAGGCAGAGTGCACAGTCACGAGCCCCTTTAGACAGCTGAGGCACATGTTGCATTTTTATGGGGCGTTTCCCTTTTTGTGGACAGCTTTCATTTACGGCTGACACGGGCCCGTGTGTGTAAGCAGAAGCGCATGTTCGCCCTTCCTGCCAGGGACTCAGGCACAGCGTCTTTCTTCAGTCGGCAAAGAAAATCCCTGCAAGTTTGTGAGAGTTCCAGGACCAGCAGTGAGCATTGTGGTCACACAGCGCCTCCCCGTCAGAGTGCCCGGGTTTCCAGGACCAGCAGTGAGCATCGTGGTCACACAGCGCCTCCCCGTCAGAGTGCCCGGATTTCCAGGACCAGCAGTGAACATCGTGGTCACACAGCGCCTCCCCGTCAGAGTGCCCGGGTTTCCAGGACCAGCAGTGAGCATCGTGGTCACACAGCGCCTCCCGTCAGAGTGCCCGGGTTTCCAGGACCAGCACTGAACATTGTGGTCACACAGCGCCTCCCGTCAGAGTGCCCGGGTTGAGCCCTGGCTCTGCTTCCAGTGTGAGCTGCTGCTGACGCACACCCTGGGAGAGGGCAGTGACGGCTCGGGTGGCTGGGTCCCTGCTACCCGCGTTCGTGACCTGCGCTGAGTTCCAGACTCCCAGTTTTGTTCTGGCCCAGCCTCAGCCTTTGTGGGCACTTGGGTAAGAGCCCACAGATGGGAGCTTTCTCTCGGGGCACCCAGGGGTGCCGAGGAGACAGTTTAAAATCTGAGTTTCAGTTGGTTGTGGTAAGCTTCTCCCTTCTGGTGCTGGTGGTTAGAACAGATTTGTCATCTGCATCTTGACTTGGAGAACGGACAGAGCTGCACAGGACTCGGGGGGAGTTCCAGTCAGGCAGTGGCTGAGGGCTTGCTTTCACGGTGCTGCTTCCGCCTGGTGTCGGGGCCGCTTGGTTCCCAGTGAGGCCACAGGGGATGCAGCCACAGGGGGTCGGTGCTGACCCCTGCCCAGTCCACAGACGCTGTGTCTTCTCTGGTGGAAAGCAGCACGCGCCTTCCTCTGGAAGGGTGTGGCATCCAGTTCCCGCCCCTTTTGGGGGAGGGTGCCTGCTGGGGCGGGCGGGGTCCTGGTTGCGAGGTGCTGGCAGCATCTGCTTGAGTATGTGAGGTCCTGCAATTTAAAGACAGCAAGTGTGAAAGGTGAAGGGCCTGGGCCAGTCCACAGTTGAAGACAGTGCTGTCCCCTGGAAGGCCTAGGACACGACCTGGGTAATTGGAGCTTCTGGGGAGAGGGCAGAAGTCAGGAGGCCTGAGAGGCCCCTGACCTACGCCTCCACGCTCGACACTGC